CACAATTGCCAACAATTTGATATGAACAGGTAGGCTGGACAGTGTCCTGCAGTGCTCTCCTGCATGTAATCCCTCCCAGGCATTTCATGAAAAATACAGCCAAGTTTTCAATCTCTGTGCTACCCGATCTTTGAAAGCTTGTGAGAAGGGGAAAGGTGGGGGAGGGGAAATAAAGGAGAAAAAGGAGGAAGGAAAAGAAGAAACAGAAAAAAGCAGAAGGAGGAGTTGAATAGAGAGTAGAAGGAGAAATGGGAAGTTGAAAGAGGAAGGAAAACGGGAAGAAGGAAAGAGAAGGAGTGGAAGAGAAAACAACAGAAGGTGAAGGAAAAGGGGATATAGAAGGAAAAAAACAGAAAAAATGAAGAGAAGGAGGGGAAATAAGAAAGGGGGAGTGTAAGGGGAAGGAAGGGGTATTGGAAGAAGAAAAGAAGAGAGGAAGAGGAAGAGAGAGGAGGAGAAGGAAGAAAAAGGAAAAGTGGAGAGAGAAGGAGAAAGGAGAGAGGAGTGATGGTGGAGGAGGGGAAGGAGGAGAAAGGCAAAGGAGAAAGGAGAAAGGAGAAGAAGAAGGAGGAGGAGGAGGAGAAGGAGAAGGAGAAGAAGAAGAAGAAGAAGAAGAAGAAGAAGAAGAAGAAGAAGAAGAAGAAGAAGAAGAAGAAGAAGAAGAACAACAACAACAACAAGAAGAAGAAGAAGAACAACAAGAAGAAGAAGAAGAAGAAGAAGAAGAAGAAGAAGAAGAAGAAGAAGAAAAAAAAGGAGAAAGAGAAGGAGAAGCAGAAGGAGAAGCTCACAGGACCACGGGGATGCTGCAATGGTCATAAATGTGAAGAATGGTCATAAGAAGAAGAAGAAGAAAGAGAGGATGAGAAGGATTAAAAAGGCAAGAAAGGAAGGGAAAAAGAAGCAGAAGAAAGGGAAAGAAAAGGAGGGAGGGGGGAAAGAAGAAGGGGAAGGAGAAAAGAAGAGGAAGGGAGGAAAGAGGAAGGAGAAGAAAAGGGAGAGCAACATGGTTGACCAAATCTATTTTATATCTAAAATGGTCTATATAACTGCAGTAAGATATTGGTCTTTCATGGTCTTTCTTTTGGTGTGCTGGGCTTCTCTATAAGCTGGCATTTTCCACCCCATCTGGAGAATAAACATATGTTCCAAGGGCAATTGGTCACTGACAAACACTATAAGATAGGTAGCGTAACAATCTGCCTGGGTGATGACATGCTGTGATCACAAGTCTGCTCCTCCAGGCATCCTGCTGGATGATAAACTCTTTTGTGTCACAGCAAAATGCTTGTTTTGCTTTTTGGCTTTCAATTTGAGACATTTCAACCCTTGGAGCTCAAGATGTGGCTGATCAGCCAGTGCATATAAGGTTTTTCATTTAGTGAATATTTTGTGGGTCAACCACAGAGGTGTTATGAACAGTACCTGCTGTTCTGAATAGATTTTGGCCAATTCTCTATTTGAAAATAATAAAACAAGTTCCGGAATGACAACAAAGAATTAGGCTTGCTATACCAGTTCTCTAATAGTCAGTGCAATTAATTATCTGCATAGAGACCATTACTGAATCATAGACAATAACCATTTAGAACTACCTAGGACTAAGGAGAAATTTCCTGGCATCTAGAACAATTAATCAGTGGAACAACCTTCCTCCAGAAGTTGTTAATGCTCCAACACTGGAAGCTTTTAAGAAGAGACTGGACAGCCATTTGTCTGAAATGGTATAGGGTTTCCTGCCTGAGCAGGGGGTTGGACTAGAAGACCTCCAAGGTCCCCTCCAACTCTATTATTGTTGTTGTTGTTATTGTTATCTCTACCTCTCTATACTGACAATTCATAATAACCCAGGAGTAACCTAACTTAGAAATTGGTTCCTCTGGAGTTGTAAATCAAGCCACGTACAGTATTCAATATTCTATTATACATACTGTAATTAGTTGTATCCGTCCAATCCCAGTAATTGGAAGGTGTGTATGATGGGATGGGGAGAAACCCATGTTGACTTCGTCGTACCAGTCCTACCAAGTCTGAATGGCTGTGTATATTAGGACACACACACACACACACACACACACACACACACACACACACCAGCAATGTAAAAAAGATATTGAGACTCTACAACAGTGGTGGCGAATCTATGGCACGTGTGCCAGAGGCAGCACTCAGAGCGCTCTCTGTGGGCACGCACGCCATGCCCCGGAGATGGCAACCGTCCCTCTTCAACCAGCCACCCACTAACTCACCGAGGTCCCACATGGCTGGATGCATCCTGGCACAGCTGCTTTCCCTCCCCCCTGTCCCATCCCTCCTGGCCTCGCATGCTCTCCTTTTCCCGGGCACGACCCACTGCATCGCCTCCTCAGCTGTTGGCTGGCCATCCAGCTCAGAGGTGGCTTCTTTGAACTGCTGGCAGTGGGCTGCAGAGCCCCAGAGTGCGCCGGTTGAAGGGCCAGCAGGCTGTGGCTGCTGATGGACACCATCACCCCCCATGCACTTGTTGGCCTCTGTGTCTGGGGGTCGATGGTGTCAGGCAGCAGCCACCCTGGCCCCTACCTTGCCTTGCTCTACGGCAATTGATACCCCTGCCCTGCCTCACCTCACCCTGCAGGACAAGCCTCCTGCCTACCACCCCCTCTGCCAGAGACCCCCTGGATCTGCTCCCCTGCCCACCCCCACAGGCGTCCCTCCTCACAAGCAACATCAAGATGACCATGCCCACCTTGACCACACCCACCCAATCTGCCATGACCACGACAATCACGCCCAGCCAGTGGGCCACGCACACCTGGCACCCGAAGATAAATAAGTGGGTTTTGGGTTGCAGTTTGGGCACTCGGTCTCTAAAAGGTTCGCCATCACTGCTCTAGCAGAAAAGACCAACAAAGATGATTAGGGGACCGGAGGCTAAACCCTAAAAAGAACCATTGCCAGAATTGGGTACATTTAATCAAAAGAAGGACTAGGAGTGATATGATAGAAAGTCTTCCAATATCTCGGGGGTTGCCACAAAGAAGAGGGGGGTCAACCTATTCTCCAAAGCACCTGAAGGCAGAAACAAGAAGCAATGGATGGGAACTTATCAAGGAGAGAACCAACGTAGACTTAAGGAGAAATTTCTTGACAGTGAGAACAATTAATCAGTGGAACTACTTGCCTCCAGAAGTTGTGAATGCTCCAACACTGGAAGTTTTTAAGAAGAGACTGGACAGCCATTTGTCTGAAATGGTATAGGGTTTCCTGCCTGAGCAGGGGGTTGGACTAGATGACCTCCAAGGTCCCTTCCAACTCTGTTAGTCTATTATTCTTATGGATATTGTTTACAATGGGTGCCCCATGGCCTCTGAAGCTGGTTATTTTCATTCCCTTCCCCCTCTCTCTCCCCCACACACACACTTTAGCAGTAATGGTCCTCTGATTCTCTAGAGAAGCTGGATATTTCTCTTCTTTCTCCTAACTACACTTGCCAGATGCAATTTTTTTTTTTTTACATTTACAACTGGGGAAGAGATTAGTCAGCATGTCCAAATTTTACAACTAGCAACATGTGTCGGTCTGCAGCATACTCTTTTGGGAGATGCACCAAGTTTTTTCCCCCTGATGGTGTGCACCATGTTCTACTTTACACTGAAATGTAACATCACTTGTAGCATTGGCTTTACACTGAAATGTAACATCACTTGTAGCATTGGCCAAAAAAATCTTCTGCATTTACAGCATAAACTCAGCCTGTGATTTCATCAGGCATCTTTTTTTAGGGAAGAAGACTTCCAGTGATCTATTAAGGGATGCTGATTTTGTGTGCTTGATCCTCCAGGGCATAAAGGAATCTTTGAGCTCCTGGAATGAGAAAGTTTGAAAGTCATTGGAGTAGATGAGGGGTCCCCAACCCCCGGGCCGTGGAGCAGCACTGGTCCATGGCATGCCAAAAATTGGTTGGCACAAACAAGCAAAGCCCCTTTTTCACAGTAAAACCTCTCTCCACAGAACCAAAAGGTTGGGGATGGGGTGTTGGCTGTCAACGCTGCTAACATTGGATGTTCTTGCTTTGACAACATATGGAGATGCAACCTTTTTCTTTCTTATGCTTTACTCTTAGAATTAGATGATTCTGGGGGAGGAGGAGGAATGTGATGGTAGTTAGTTAGACATAACAATATTGTAATAGTGTGTGAATTCAGGGCTTTTGAAATAAGAAATGATAAGAAATGGTGGGTTGTAGTAAAGGAGGGAAAGCCTGCATTTCAAACTAATTGGAGAATGTGATTTATGACTGTTAATTAGAGGAGGGAATTGTGCTTTGATACTATGTGTTTAAGGGAGGGGAATTCAGATTTTGGCTTCGACTATGTACTGCCGAAGCTATGCCACTCGAATAAAGATTCAAAGTTCTTTGAAGAGTTTCATTTGTTGGAACCCTGACATTGGCACTGGAGTAGATAATTCATTTTCTTCCCAACCATTACATTTCTGAATTAAATATACACAGAAAAGGGTGAACAAAGAAAATCCAGTCCTCTTTTTTTCCAAATAACCATTTGCTCTGCTTCTATTACTCTTGTAGGCATCATGCTTAAAAATCAACATTATCAGGAAGAAACGTTGTTAATATCTAGAAAGCCTACAGGCACGTCTGGAGTTACAGTTAATACCCGGCTTAAAGCCACAATTGTGTCCAAAATTTCTGTCACTAAATGAGACATTGATTAAGTGAATTTTGCCCCTTTTTGCTACTTTTCTTGCCACTCTTGTTAAGTGAATCACTGCAGTTGTTAAATTAGTAACATAGATCTAGGATTCTTGACTCAGTAGATAAAAACTCCATTAGTTTTTTTTCCTTATATGTTTTTGGTGTAGCAGCACCCAAAATCTTTTTTATAAAATTTCATATGAGTGGCTGGCAGCTTTGCTGCAACACATTTGGACTTTTTATTTACCCTCCCTGTGAAAAGCTACTAATTTCTAACCATCTTCTTTGTTCCAAACCCACTTTTTAGGTATTATTTGATACGTACAAGTCTGAAAATCTCAGCTAAGATCCCACATCGTTTGTCAGCAATTCTGCCTGAACAAAGAGGTGAGGAATTTAAAAATAAGAAAAAGAAAATGGGAAAAGCCTGTTCCCCCCCAATTAATTGTTTTATTGCATTGTATAATTCAACTAAATCATTACAGAATGCATATTCTCAGTACCATGGCATTTATGCAGCAGGAACAGGAAACTGTTAGCACAGTGATGATTAAGATAAATTAAACCTTGAAAGCTAAGAACAACGTATGAATGTTGAACGTGATTTCTAAAATGTAAAGTTGCTTGCAGTGTGGTGCCCTGATGGTGAAGACACTCGCCTCCCACTTGGAAGGTTGAGTTTGGTCCTAGGAAGCAGTAGATATTTCTCTCTTAGGGCGCAAAGTGAAAATATATGCTGTGAACTCCACAGAGGTATCAGGAAGGGCATCCAGCCAGTAAACGCTCAGCTCCACCCAATTGCCCTGACCTCACCCTGAATCAAGGGTGTCAACACTGCTAACATCGGATGTTCTTGCTTTGACAACATACGGAGATGCAGCCATTTCCCTTCTTATGTTTTAGAATTAGAGTTAGAATTAGATGATACTGGGGGGAGGAAGAGGAATGTGCATGGGAGTTGGTTAGACATAACAATATTATAACAGTGTGAGAACTAAGAGGTTTTTTTTTAAATAAGAGATGATAAGAAATGGTTGGTTGGTTGGAGAACTGGAGGAAAAGCCTGCATTTCAAACTAATTGGAGAATGTGATTTATGACTGTGAATTGGAGGAGGGAATTGTGCTTGATACTATATGCTCAGGGCAGGGGAATTCAGATTTTGGCTTTGCCTATGTAAGTGCCGGTGCTATGCTACTCGAATAAAGATTCTTTAAGGTAAACAATGCCTCGAAGTTCTTTGAAGAGTTTCATCTGTCGGAACCATGACAAAGGAACTACAAGGGTCATAAAAACAAAAGTTAAGTGTCCAATTATTGCTAAATATTACACTGATAAACAATGCAAAATACACATAATTCTTTTATAACCTGAAAAAGTTTAGCTTTTTGAAGTTAATAGTAAATAGATAATACTTGAGTTCCCACTGTGTTATTATTTTCTATTGTTGTTGAAGATTATCAGAAAAAGAAAAAAAAAGGAACTAGGAAAATGTAGATCTGGATTTAACCTTTAACTTCTCATTAGTTCCGTTGATTTACAGGGTTTATAGACATTTAGACACCCTTAAAAACCCTGGCATAAATGTTTGCTTTACCTTGTGGTTTGATCTGTTTTTTGTATAAGCCATTCTTGATTGAATTTTCAAACTTCTACTTTCTTTATATACTGTTAGTTTCACCATTGCTGTATATGTAAATATCGTAGGTACTATATATTGGACAAAGTTTATCTTCACTGCCCTGATTATGGTGTTTCTTCTTAATGCATTCTGAAATTATACCTAGTTAAAAATGTGGCTTTATTTCCAATTTAATTTCTAAAATTTCTACAGGTTTAGGAATAAAATTTTCAGAAATTGGTTTAAGGGGCAAACTAAGGAAGATGTATCCTTAAAATATAAAGTTCCCATATTTTGTAATCCTGCAAACACCTAAATCTGTTGGATATTAAATGGTTTCAGTTGTCATTCTTAGGTTTGTAGTATGATTTTGTTGTTTTTTGAAGATATCTCTGTTTTAGTCTGTTGATGTGAGTGACCTTGCAAACATATTTACCAGGCGGATGGTATATAAATATTTGGAACAAATAAAATAGCAGGCGCTGAAAAGGTGAAGTTATATGAGAAGCAAGGTTCTGCTTCAGAAGCTTCTGGTTTCTAAAGATAGTTTGGATAAGATTTACATGGATTTACTGGATTTCAACTCTCCTCCATAGTAAATCTATTGGAACCCAATGAACCTTTTCAAAGTTTGTCTCCTTCTTATCCTGCCTTTCCCTCCCTTCCACTCCTCTACCCTGCCCTTATCTCTCCTCTCCCCTCTCCTCCTCTCCTCTCCTTTCCTCTCTTCTCTTCCTTTCCCTTCCCCCCTCCCCTCCTCCCTTCCCTTCTCTTCTCTTCTCTTCTCTTCCCTTCCCTTCCTTCCTCTCCTCTCTTCCCCTCCCCTCCCCTCTCTTCCCTTCTCTTCCTTCCTCTCCTCTCCTCTCCTCCCCTCCCCTCCTCTTCTCTTCTCTTCTCTTCCCTTCTCTTCTCCTCTCCTCTCCTCTCCTCTCCTCCCCTCCCCTCCTCTCCTTTCTTCCATTCTCTTCCCTCCCCTCCCCTCCCTTCTCTTCCTTTCCCTTCCCCCTCCCCTCCTCCCTTCCCTCCCCTCCCCTTCCCTTCTCTTCTCTTCTCTTCTCTTCTCTTCCCTTCCTTCCTCTCCTCTCCTCTCTTCCCCTCCCCTCCCCTCTCTTCTCTTCTCTTCTCTTCCCTCCTCCCCTCCCCTCCCCTCCCCTCTCTTCCCCTCTCTTCCTTCCTCTCCTCTCCTCCCCTCCCCTTCTCTTCTCTTCTCTTCTCTCCTCCTCTCCTCTTCTCCCCTCCCCTCCTCTCCTTTCTTCCATTCTCTTCCTTCCCCTCCCCTCCCTTCTCTTCTCTTCCCTCCTCCCCTCCCCACCCCTCTCTTCTCTTCTCTTCTCTTCTCTTCTCCTCTCCTCTTCTCCTCCCCCTCCCCTCCTTCCCTTCCCTTCCCTTCCCTTCCCTTCTCTTCTCTTCTCTTCCCTTCCCTTCCTTCCTCTCCTCTCCTCTTCCCTCCCCTCCCCTCTCTTCTCTTCTCTTCCCTCCTCCCCTCCCCTCCCCTCTCCTCTCCTCTCTTCCCTTCTCTTCCTTCCTCTCCTCTCCTCCCCTCCTCTCCTTTCTTCCATTCTCTTCCCTCCCCTCCCCTCCCCACCCCTCTCTTCTCTTCTCTTCTCTTCTCTTCTCTTCTCTTGTCCTCTCCTCTTCTCCCCTCCCCTCCCCTCTTCCATTCTCTTCCCTTCCCTCCTCTCCTCCCCTCCCCTCCCCTCCCTTCCCTTCCCTTCTCTTCTCCTCCCCTCTCCTCCCTTCCCTTCCCTCCTCTCCTCTCCTGCTTTGCTCTTCCTTTCTCTTCCCCTCTCCTCCTTTTTCCTCCCCTGCCTTCCTCTATCCTCCCCTCTCTTCCCCTCTCTTGCCCTTCCCTTCTCTCCCTCCACTCCCATGCCTTTCCCTATCCTCCTTTCTTCCCCTCTCCTCTCTGCCTTGCCCTTCCCTCCCCTTCCCCTCTGCTCCTCTATCCTCTCCTCTCCTGCCCTCCCCTATTCTACTTTCCCATCCCTCCTTAATTTTCCTTTCCTTAGTTTAAACATATATTCATCCTGATTTGCAGGGGGGGAAACGTTTGAGACCATTTTCTCAGAGGATTTTCCTAGCAGTTTTATCTGACTGCATCCCATCCCCATGACCTTGAACAAATGAATTTTAATGTATAAAAACATAACAGAGATAAGCTACTACATTTGCACTACTGATGTCCAGGCTGGAAAATTAATGGATCATCTTCCATTTCCATCTTCGCATAATGAAATAATATTAGAGAAACTGTTTGCAATAATTCTTTCCAATAGGCTAATTAGAAATGTCAGAAGGGATGTTAGAAATGAAAGACTGATGATCGAGAGCCCGGCTGACTTTAATCAGATTTTGGGGAGGAAAGAATAAAAAAAAAAAATGGAGTTTAATCATAAAGACAAATAGTTTTTGTAGACTGTTACTTTCCAGTCTTCAATCTTAGAACAAACTTAAAAAGAAATAATAATAATAATAATCAGGACTATATCAACAAATGCCATTTCCTCTTCATCCCAAAAAGATGGATTGTACTTTAGGTCCATCCAATTATTTTGGCATTTGGGCCAAAAATAGGGAGCTACAAAAAAAAATAAAAAATCAATATATTATATACAGTAGCTAATAGTTTGTTGACAAATGTGATATAGGTAACTGCTGTCTGGCCAAAGAATTAGGAAGTTGACACAGTCCAAATGTAGTTCTATTTCCCCCCCCCCCAAAAAAAAAGAAACAATTTCAGAGTTTGGAGACACTTCTTGAGTTTAAGTCATTGTTGGAAGCCCAGGTTCTTTAAACAGCATGGAAGGACTGTTTAATTATTTATATCCCACCCTGATTATGCTTAAGGCGGGACTAGAACTCACAGTCTGCTGGTGATTGGCCCAAAGTCACCCAGTTAGCTTTCATGCCTAAGATGGGACTAGAACTCACAGTCTGCTGGTGATTGGCCCAAAGTCTAAAGCAGGACTAGAACTCACAATTTCCTGGTTTTTAGGCCAGCACCTTCACCACTAGACCAAACCTCTTCAGTCAAACTTTGGAAATTTAGCCACTATCCTTTCATTGTTTTAACTTCACTGATCCACACCCTTGTGCTCTTTTACCTGGATGTTGTTGTTTTTTCATTTAATTTATTATATCTGCCCATTTCAACAACCTCTGGCGGCTTAGAAAATAGAATACTCAATTAAAACGGTTAAAAGCATAGACAAAGCACAACAAAACTGCTTTCACTCAAATCATCCATTAAAACCCAATACAATACATACAGCTCACCAGAATGCATTGATCCCAAGCCTGGGACCAAAGGAGATTTTAAGACTTTTTGGAAATGCAGGAAAGAAGGCACTCTCTAAATCTCTGGGGAGATGCCTTAGCAGAGAGTGGGAGCCAAAACAGAGAAGGTACACTCAGTTGCTAAAGATGACAGTGCTTGAAAGAGGGAATTTGGCATACACTCACTCTTCAGGCAGCAATGACTGGAGATAGATGGTGTCTTAGGTACCTAGGTCCTTTGCCGTGAGGGGTTTAATAGGCAACCAGCACCTTGATTACACCTGAAATTGACAGCCAATGTAGCTTGCGTAGCAGCAGTAACACCTGGGCACCACAAGAAGTGTCCATTACTATTCACACGGCTGTATTTTGAACCAGCTATAGCTTCTGGATGGTCTTCAAGGGGAACCCCATGTAGAGCACATTGCAGAAGTCCAGTTGTGAAGCAACCATGACATGAATGACTGTTTATAGAGTCTACTGGTGAAGAA